CCCACCTCGCTACAACCTCCTTTCAGGTAGCTGTAGAGAGCGATAAGGTCTCCCCTGAGCCTCCTTTAGCCTCCAGGCTAAACAACCCCAGTTCCCTCAGCCGCTCCTCATCAGACTTGTTCTCCAGACCCCTCACCAGCCTCGTTGCCCTTCTCTGGACACGCTCCAGCACCTCAATGTCTTTCTTGTAGTGATGGGCCCAAAACTGAACACGGTATTTGAGGTGCGGCCTCACCACTGCCAAGTACAGGGGGATGATCACTTCTCTACTTCTGCTGGCCATACTATTTCTGATACAGGCCAGGATGCCATTGGCCTTCTTGGCCGCCTGGGCACACTGCTGGCTCATATTCAGCCGGCTGTCAACCAACATGCCCAGGTCCTTTTCTGACAGGCAGCTTTCTAGCCACTCTTCTCCAAGCCTGTAGCATTGCATGGGGTTGTTGTGGCCAAAGTGCAGGACCTGGCACTTACCCGTTGTTGAACCTCATACAGCTGGCCTCGGCCCATCGATCCAGGCTGTCCAGATCCCTCTGTAGAGCCTTCCTACCCTCATGTACACTGAAGTCTGCTTGGAGAACACCTATGTATGGTCATACTAACATTAATAGTGAATATTTAATGCCACAGGTTTTATCATAGGCTAGCAAACACAACTTGGTGGACACCAGGTTGAACGTGAGCCAGCAAAGGGCCCTTGTGGCAAAGGTGGCCAATGGTATCCTGGGCTGCATTAGGCAAAGCATTGCCAGCAGTTCGAGGGAGGTGATCTTGCCCTCTACTCAGCACTGGTGAGGCCACACCTGGAGTCCTATGTCCAGTTCTGGGCTTCCCAGTACAAGAGAGACATGGACATATTGGAGAGAAGGGCCTATGAAAAGCCACAAAGATGATGAAGCGACTAGAGCACCTCTTCTATAAGGAAAGGCTGAGAGAGCTGGGACTGTTCAGCCTGGAGAAGAGAAGGCTCAGGAGGGATCTCATCAATGTATATAAATACCTGAAGAGAGGGTACAAAGAGAATGGAGCCAGGCTCGTTTCAGCAGTGCCCAGTGACAAGACCAGAGGCAATGGGCACAAACTGAAACACAGGAAGTTCCCTCTGAACATCAGGAAACACTTTTTTACTGTGAGGGTTACCAAGCACTGGCACACGTTGCCCAGTGAGGTGGTGGAGTCTCCATCCATTCAAATGCCATCTGGACATGATCCTGGGTAACCAGCTCTAGGTGGCCCTGCTTGGGCAGGTGGGTTGGACCAGATGACCTCCAGGGGTCCCTTCCCACCTCAAACTTTCTGTGATAATACAGCTCATCTGGAAACTTAAAAGACATCTGGCTACTAGCCCATACTGAAACATCTGCCATCTTTGATTTTAGTTATCCAATTAAATTTTTTAATAGGTTGGGATTCAACTCCCAAAAAGTTACTTCAGTGATCTTACAGTGCACCTTTATAATCAATGGAAATCTAATCAATATAGTCAGTGAAGCTGTGAAATGGTTTTAGCGCTACCTGGCTCAATTCAATTGGCCAAACATAAGTGACTAGTGCCATTTGAATTGCCAAGGTGCTGCTCCAAAAAGACCTCACACAGATCTGTGCAAATAATCTTGGATACCCTGGGCATCTCAAATGGCAATGGATGTCTTTGTTCAGGTGCCTGAATCAAGCCCCAAGCGCTCACTAGGCTGCACTGACTATACCTCCCATTTGGATAGCTGTCTGTAGACATCTTAATCTCAAACTGAAACACACATGGTTTCTTCTAATTAAAAATTACACTTCTGATGAAGGTGTAAAAAGAAGAGAGTAAAACATAAGTAAAAAAATAAAATGCTTCCCTAGCCCTAGCATAGTAGATGCTATATACCACTTCTGTTTCAGTCTTAACAAGGTATCTTCCGTTCTTTCACTTTTATTTCTAGCGGCATCTTCATGCAAGACATTCGCTGAGCACCGTGATGTAGTGGACAACCACTACTGGCACTATTTGAGCAGTCATACTTGGCACACGGAAGCCCAAGTTAACACCTAAGTATTCACAGCTCTCAGTGAGGAAGCAGATGTTCTATGTGTTTTTTAAGTTTGAAAGGGTAGAAAGTAACTGCTCCTTACTTTTAGACAACAAAGTCTTAGAATTTTTCTGCAAGTGAAAATTGCTGAAAATTCATGATGCAATGTACAATAAAGGAAAAAAAACCACGAAGACTGTGTCTTATCTGTTCCAAATTTGCATAGCACCATTGCATTCCGTTCTAATTTACACTGACTGGTTCATTGTTACTCACCAAAAGAGAGTACTTCAGTGAACAGCCTTAGGTGGACTTTGAAATACTGACCAAAATTCTCATCTTTTGTTTCTAGCCAGAATAAACTGGGATCCGTCTGATCCTCAGATCATATCTGAAGGCCTGTATGCAATTGCGGTAGTATTAAGTTTCTCCAGAATAGCCTACATCTTACCAGCTAATGAAAGCTTTGGACCACTGCAGATATCACTTGGCAGAACTGTGAAAGACATCTTCAAGTTCATGGTGATATTTATCATGGTGTTTGTGGCTTTCATGATAGGCATGTTTAATCTCTATTCCTACTATCTGGGGGCAAAACAAAATGAAGCATTCACAACGTAAGTACAACTGATTAAATTGTAATGATTGTGGGCTATTTTTATGGATAGTCAGTTGTTTGCATTGTATGTATTAAGTTTACTAATTTTTTTATAAGGTTTGCATCTCTTAAAAATTAAGTAGTAATTTTCTCTCTTGTTCTGGTGCTTAAAGGATATATTTGAAATCAGAGGATGAGCTCTTGATCCCAACAATACTATGATAAATCAGGAAAGACAGGCTGGGAAGGTGAGATGTAGTTGGCCTTTACGTGAGAGAGCAGCAGGAATGCCTTTACCTCTTCCAAGGGATAGATGATGAGCCAGCAAGAGCTCATAGGTCAGGATTAGAGGGCAGACCAACACGGGTGATATTGTAGTGGATGTCTGCTACAGAATGCCTGATCAGGAAGACAAAATAGATGAGGCTTTCTTCAGACAACTGGAAGAAGCCTCACACTTGCAGGCCCTGGTCCTTATGGGGATTTTTAACCACCCTGATATCTGCTGGAGGGACAACACAGCAGGGCACAAGCAATCTGGGAGGTTTCTGGAGGGCATTGACAATAAATTCCTGACACAAGTGATTGAGGAGCTGATGCGGAAAGGAGCATTGTGACACCTGACTTTTACAAACAAGGAAAAACTGGTTGGGTATGTGAAGGTTGGGAACAGCCTTGGCTGACCATGAGATGGCGGAGTTCAGGTTCCTGAGAAGAGAGAACAAGGCAAATAACAGGACCACAACCCTGGACTTCAGGAGAGGAGACTTTGGGCTGTTCGGGGAAGAATCTCATGGGATAAGGCCCTGAAGAGAAGGGCATTCCAGGGAAGCTGGTTGATTTTCAAGAATTGCCTTTTCAGCGCTCAAGATTGGTCCATCTCAATGGGCAGGAAATCAAGCAAAGGTGTCAGGAGGCCTGTATGGATGAACAAGAGTGACTGATTGCCAGCTGGTTGTGATGCCACTCAGAAGGACCTTGACAGGCTGGAGAAATGGGCTGACAGAAACCTCGTGAAGTTCAACACAGGGAAATGCCATGTACTGCCCGTGGGGAGGAATAACCTCAGGCACCAGGACAGGCTGGGGCTGACCAGCTGGAAAGCAGCTTGCCAGAAAAGGACCTGGGGATCCTGATGGACGCAAGTTGACCATGAGCCAGCAATGTGTCCTTGTAGCAAAGCAGCCCAACAACCTCCTGCACTGCATTAGGCTGGGGAGGCTAGTTGGGCTCAGAAGTACCTCAGACCCTTTACACAGCACTGTCAGATGACCTGTCAGTGCAATCTGTTGTTCAGGGATTTCGGGACATAGGCTGGGTCAGACCCTGGGCCTGCAGGACAGCATCCTGCCTGCAAGGGCAGTCAGCACCGGCACTTCAGAGCGCAGTGTAGGGGCTCCCTGCAGCATGTGGGAGCAAGGCTGGTTCCTCCATCAACTGCTGCTGTCATCTGTAATTGAAGCAGGCTAATCACTACAGTGTGATACGCATTATAAAATACTTGACATTTAATCCAGACAACTCTATATTCTTAGCAGTCAAAAAAAATCTAATCCCTATTTTAAGCTCTGGCTCTCCGTAGTTTCCAATGGCAATAACCTATTGCATCTTGAGAGGAGAAAATATATTACCTTTTTTTTTTTACTCTATTTCTTTGGCTGTTTTTTTTTTTTTTTTCCCCCCCAATAAATCTAAGCAGATATAGTAGACAATTTTGTTCTTAACAGGGCTACAGTGGGAAAAATTGGAAAGGTTTGAGGACCATAGTGGTGGTTCATCCTGTGAACACCTCATTTGTCATGCCTCTCATTTCTAGCTATGATTTTAAGATAAATCTCTTGAATGGAAACTCATTCTTTTCCATGCTCTGCAGCCCTTGCCCGTTTAATTTCTGGCTGTCATAATATTCAACCTATAGCTGTTACGAAGTATACTCAGCCAGGAAGCAAACTTGGCCATGAGGGATGTCCTGGTTTCGGCAGGGATAGAGTTAATTTCCTTCCTAGTAGCTGGTACAGTGCTGTGTTTTGGATTTAGGATGAGAACAAAGTTGATAACGCACCGATGTTTTAGTTGTTGCTAGGTAATGCTTACACT